GTTAATAGTCGCACCGCGCGCACCACTTCGACTCGCTACTCTGCCCCCCCGGTTGGTCGACTTTGAATAACGATCCATGACGAATTCGGCGGACGCGGCCCCATACCTGAACTGTCTTACCGACTGGTATTCATCCGACAACCGTGTTGCATTTACATGAGATGTGCTAGATACAGCGACAGGATGAAGGGGTGGTGTATGTCAGTGGGGAAGAGATGTAAGCAACCGCTAGAAAAGCGTGAAAATTTCGGAACTTCGGTACTAACACCGTGGGTGGTTGTCCCCTCTCTTTTTTCCTTTCTCCCCCTCCCCCCTTTCTCTCTCTCTCTCTCTCTCTCACTTTCTCTCTTTTTCCTTTTTTCTCTCTCTCGCTTCTTTTTTTTCTTCAAGGATACGTTTCACCTCTATTGTTTCACGGCAAGTTTTCCACGATGCAGCGCCCGTCGAGCGCGATGAACCGCGTGCGCTGCGCGCAATTCATCAAAACCGGAGCCGAGGTAGAAGTAACGCTTTCGAGTATCGATACCGTAGCTAAGGATTAAACCGATAACGATCGCCGGCCACGGTACGCTTCGGCTCCACGTGTCTGACGTAATTAATTGCGTCGACGTCTTTATAGTGATACGCGCGTATTCCTTGGCCGTAGCTATTTTTATGCCAATGGCGCTCGCTGGGCAATTTACCATGATCTATCCATGCTGGAAATGGTTAGATAGACATTCCTTTCCTTTAAGTATCATGCTATGTAATGTAGTAATTATTAATATTGTTCCGTGATTTATGTCGCAAATTTACGGAGATAAATAATTTTCTAAGAGTGCGCACGGATTTAATACTTTAATATATCGCGTGTGTAATTTACCCAATTGGGGAGAAAAAGTTTAAAAAAAGTTTCAACATATCTCGTTAACATGATATTTACAAGTCTGTATATCTTAAGACTCATCCCTACCAGAACCCATCACAGCATACTGACTTCTTCTTCTTTATAAAGAAAGAAGAGGAAAGAGAAAAAGAAGCCAATATAGTATGCTGGTCGACACGATCGGCTTCGATGGGGATGAGTTTTTAGTCTGCACCTCGTAGTAGAATTTACATTATTAAACATATAATGATAAAATATTGTGCTTTGTTCATTAAAAATAAAAAGTTAATTGTTGAATAACGCATTTTTTATTTTATACTATTATTTAGTCAATTCGAAATAAGTCATACACAATTTTACTGGATGACTTTTACTTTTTATAAATATTTTAACGACGTCGGTTATTTTCAATGATCATCGGGGTGTCATTGAAAAATGAAGCTGTCACCAAAAGGCCACCATGGAAGTTAATACATAAAGGAGGCACGGTAGAGTCGTTGCGCTGTGGCTTAGCGCAACGATACTATCAGGGTCCCCAGATATTTGTATTTTGCCATTAAGTTTTCATTGTACGAATATACTTTTCCATTAATTTTTTTATTCATGTCTTATTCTTCTATGACATTTTCTAGTAATAGTTCCTAAAAATGATCATTACTCTTCATTCTCGGGAATCGAGATCTATTGTTGCCAAGTGACTCAGCATTTTTATTTAGCTTCAACCGTTATTAGTATTTCTATTCGGCCTTTCTATTATCATAAACCGTATCCGTCTTAAAGTACCTTTTTGAATATTGAAAAGCATAAAAATTCGGAAGTCTGGGTAAATGTTGCTTTTTGTAAAGATAATTTCATAGTCTTCTTCAAAGGACCGTTACTGGTCAAGCCGAAGAGAATCCGTCATAATGGATCCTGATCGACACGTAAAATTGCACGTCTCAGCCCCATCTCTCATCATTCATTATACGTACGCCGATGCGAGATCTAAGGCTGCTATCATCGATTTTGAAAATAATCCGTACGATCGGAACGACGGTGCAGCTTCACGTCAGTTCGAAGAGGCAGCCGCGACGCCGGCTCTGATCAGGATCGGCGTGAACCATTTACGCAAATAAAAACGTATAATTCCGCGTTTAACGTATAATACGCTTTTAAGACTACGCTATGCATCACACCCATATCCGGTCTCCCGTTTCCGGTCGCGAGAAGCACCGAGTTCTACGAGGTTGTGGATGGAGCTCGTGGAGCTGAAACGAGAAGGAGAGACAGAGAAGAGTGCAAGTTACGTGAACGGCGGCGAGAAAGAAAGAAAGAAAGGAAAAAAGAATAGAAACTAAACGCGCAAACACACACGTGGCGATAATGTTCGGCAACCAGCCGGCCCGGCAGATCTGCACGGGTAAATACGGACACGCCCGTCGCAATTACACGAGTGCCTGCAAGTATAATGAGGCATGCGTTTCATTGTGATTTATGCAACGGCTGGAGTCCCGTTTGTGTGTGTCGAGGGGCTACCTTTCTCTTTCTCTTTCTCTCTCTCTTTTAACGCAGCAGTAAATTCACGAGGAATAGGCATGCGGAATTGAAGCATACAAAAAACCAACGTTGGAATCATCGGGATATAATCAGTCAGTCTTCGATACTGACGAAGAACTTAGATTGGAGAATTTAGTTCGTATCCTATTCTTACTTTTTCGTTTATTTAGATAAGAACAAGTCGCGAAATCGTTTAGTCTTTTTACACTTTTTACATGTGATCTTTAATAAATCTATGAATTAAAAAAAAAAACACAGGAGATAGCTCTTTTGGGAGCAATTATCTTTAATTCGATTCTGTCAATATTTTAACCTTCAATTGCAGTTAAATATAAGTAATTTAATTATTAACGCACAATGCTCGGTCGTTTCGCAAAAGATCAAAGAAATAATATATAATGTACCTCTTGGATATATTCGACGTGTACTATAATTAGATGTAAATTTGCCGCCCACTTGTCTTGATTGATTCGCAAATGTCGTATAATGGAGCGCTAGGAAGGTCAATTTGTTGGTCGCGCGTTAAATATGCAATCTCGGGGATCATCGTCGGTTCTCGAACGAGGAGGTTTCACATTACCAGCGACTTGCGCGTGGCAATCGTCGCGACGCGGAGAGAGATATTAACCATAAAGGATTGTAAATATCAATGCGTAATAAATTACGCTGAATAGGCAAGATTATAGGCGGCCGGCCGGTGATTTAGCGGTGATTTTTGCACTCGGCCTCGTAATACTCTGTCATTAATATTTTTTTTCCCCTCTGTTCGCCGTTCATGCGCATCGAAATAATAATATTTTTGGTGCAGTTGGTCGCAAAATTGCAAGCGGTTAATACTGACGCGAAAGTCTCCTCCATATGGGTGCATCTATACCGTACTTGGTATCGCCCAGGAATCCGATGTCTTCGCAGAAATGCATTTTACAAAAAAACGTAAGCGTAATGGAAATTGTATATTATTCAGTACTTTGACGTTTCGCTTGTACCATAATTTCTTGCGCACGTTTATGGATGTCGACGACCATTAGAGCCGTACGCTTGACTCAACTATAATGTCTCATTCTACGTAAAAATACTGGTAATTGTAGATGAGGCACGTCGCGAGTGTCTATCACCTTTCAAACAACTAAATGAATTTGAAAAATGGCAAAAAATTTCTTCACGTGTATCGAATCCTTGTCAGATTAAGTGAACATTGACTGAGGTATCTTTCATTTCATAAATACAAGCAATAATGTAAATAATAATTACAAACGTGACGTATCGATCGAATAGCCCAATGTTGAGACGGACATATAATGGACGAGAAATGATGAATTGATAGTAGGCAACGTTCATAAATCCGCGGTCTTATCTTACATCACGTCGTTAATTCTGCATCGACAAATACAGGCGCAACAGCCATTCCGTGTGTATCTTAAGCGATAAATTGATCGACCCCTAAACAACTCGTCAAAATGCTGACGCATGACCCGCCCGACATGACAGGCGTCATGGAACTTGCGTGTCCCGTTCAGCCGGTTTAATACTATTCGGTTACATGTATTATTCAATCAGCCAATAAGAAGGAAAACACGCGATTTATGCGATCCGCCCGGGTGAGAGCGGAGCCAGAGATCTCAGTTTGGGTGGACGAGTCGCGCATGAATCATCTTTGTTCCTCGATTACGAATATAGACGTTTCAACAGCTAATAAAATAATCAACAGTAACTTTTTCCAAACAAATTCATTAAATGGAATCAACTTAAATTTTTGTTAAAATTTAACTAAAACGTAGACAAATTGAAATAAAATTTTTTCGAAAATGATTATTAATACAACGTATTAATATAACATCTTTTTATAACAGCTGATTTAATTAAGCTATATTGTTGCCGTATATCCACTTCTTTGATTACTTAAAATATAATATTATAGAATTTTGGGCTATCATTTGGCGTTAGATAGTAGCTAGCGCAAGAATTTATAAGAAATATGAGGAGTAGGAGATGAGATATGTGCTTCGTTGGATACAATTGAAATTTTCTATCGTACGCAAAAAAAGGAATCGACGAAGCGATAACTCTCGCGTTTACAGAAAATATCGTGATCATATCCGCCTATCAACGTGTAGTCTGGTTGTCAGTTGGGAGTCCGATCGTGAATAGCGCTGTCGTAATAACGAGCTCTTTACATTTCAGATTACACGTGCAGCTTGGAATGGCGGGCGACTTATAAGCGCTATAAAGCGATAAAAGTCGATTTGCCTGCTGTACATCTAAGCAGTGATATAGCGCTACTTAACGCCCGCGTAAACTGGACAACGCACCTGGCAATTTTATATTTATCTGACTTTTTTCCTCTTCCGTTTTTTTTTCCGAAAAAAAATCATCAATTGATGTTTCGAAACTTTTAAAAAGTCAAATTTATGAGAGATAGTATCTAAAGGTTCGTCTCCACTGAAGCCGACCATGCCGACTGGCTCCTTTTCTTTTCTTTATAAAGAACAAAAAGTGCCGAAAACATGCCGATTGGCACGATTGTCTTCGATGGGGACAAGTCTTAAATAGACAACAAATAACAATAATACGTTGATAAGTTTAAAGAGATTATTAAAACCTATTTTCACTTGTGCTCGATACTGTCGAAGTGTCACTGACGCTAGAATTGGCCATTTTCGAACTGCATGGTTGATTAGGTTCACTAAAAATCATGCTCTTTTTTCTGCAAGCCCCCGCGCTGCATTCCATTAACGTACTGTTGCATTTTTTCAGGTTACACTTGAATCCCAATGCTCGCTTTGCCCTGGAGCCGACATACAAGGACCTCACTCCCGCCATAGTACGCCTCGTTGTCTTTTTAAAAAATGGCAAGGTGCTCTGTTGGAAGTTGGCTATTGATATCTCTTCGACTTGTGCAAAAATATTTCAACAAGAGACCGAAAAGAGTAACAAAAAAAGACCTGAAACCTTCTCGACGTTTCTTTCATTTTCGTTTTTAGTTGTGCGAACAATGGCATTTCCCCTGTGGGCTTTGTCTCGGACTTCTTTTGACGATAAGATGATTCATGCAACGTTTGCGGTTTGTCTGATGTTTGAGGTCTGAAATATATGCAAAATGTGTAATTGACATTAGTATGGCTGGACCGCCTTCGAACAGAATGTGCAAAGATGTAGTTTCTACGTAGAAAACTGTTCATTAAATGCTCTGGATATACACATGCACAAATATTTTTAACAATGTCCACGATATTCCTCAATACTATAATATTTAAAACTATTATATATATGTAGTTGCGTATTTAATTAATAATTACATATTAAATAAATATTGATCAAATGTCACAGGTATTCAATTAACATTGTGTATATAATTAATTAAAAAGTTGATTAATCTAAATTTTAACTTAACTGATTTCTTTATCTGTCAAAATTATAAAATTTTTGAAGGAAACATTAATTAAACAAAGATTGAAATTCTTAATAAAACAAATTATTAAAACATTATATGTACCTATTTAAGCTGGTTTTTCTATGCTTCGTACATGATTTTGAACATTTGCCTTTAAAGGAAGATGACTTTATTTTCTCTGTAGACTTGCAAAATCCTAATCGTTGCTTGTCAACTATTGATGTATCTTTTTTCCTCTTCAGGGACACTTCAAATGATTCAAAAGTCAAGATATAAGTAGATCCATCAAAAGATGTTGGACCTTTGTCTTTCTTTTCCATTCTGAATTTTAAGGTATTTCTTCAAATTCTATTGTTAGTCTTTCATCGACTTGCAAGTTTCAATTAAACTTCTCTTAAATTGTCCGAATCTTTTTCTTTATCGACGCATTGCTTTTTGGAGCTTTCGATCTATCATCAATCAATCAGAAACGTTTTATAAATATCTTTATGTGCTATTGAATTGATATATAATCGGGAAATTATTTGTAAAATTTAATTTCATATCTAACTCACTTCTACACGATATAGTCGGAGTGGAAACTGCAGATCTCATTATTGCACATTCACGAAGAATCACGGTGGTCGTTGAGCCCATTTTTAATTCATCGTCAATACTAAAAGCTGGACTCCTCGCTATTATAAGGACTTTCTTCATTTCACGTGTCTAAATTCACGCGTAAATTTAGAGTGTAAATTTGTTTCTCTTTTTTTGCATTTATTAACCGCTTAAGTTTATAAAATTTATAACGAATAATCGTATAGATAAACGATAATCTGATCCAACCTGGTTACCACTATTCGAGGATCGCGTGCATACATTTCGGAATCTTTTCCCTAGATTCCTGCAGAACTTAACAATTCTGTGATATACGGTCGAAATTATGAAATATTTTGATAATGGTAAAGTCACTCTGTAAACATCGACAAGAAGTCAGCAAACTGAAATTTGAAAGTTGAATGTTGTGAAACTCGATAAGTACAATCGATATATTTCAAAGCATCTGATAACATTAAGTAATGACAAAATGCAGACGTAATCACATGGTGGAAGTACATACCACTATGACGTAAGTAATCACATTTTGCATTGGTTGCGTTCAGCAGACTCAACTATTGCGGAACGGATCCATAAACGTTCGTTGTTATTCTTTGAGATCATCTAATAGCAGTGAGCGCTCACGGATCCGCTACGCTAAAGTTCTAGATGTACCAAAGTAGCGCAAAGGTCCTCCATTTTCAACCTACTAACCATATCATGTACTAATAATACTAACCGCTTATTGAACTACATGCTACTGGGTCGAAAATAGCGGTCGAAATAGCCAATAGGAAAGCTGTCGGTATGTCGGCTCAGATAAAAGGATTGCGCTACTTTTATATATCTAGAGTTTTACGCTCCGCAACAATTAAGTCTGCTGAACGCAACCATTTCAACACTTTCTTAAAATTAGTTTATTAAAATTTTATTTTTTAAATAAATCTATTAATACAAAATCAGTACACATAAGATTTACTTATATCTTCGAATATACATTAAAGACATTAATTTCTGCTTTTAGTTTTTGGAATTTTTCTCGGAAGTTTTGTCGGAATACAGCGAATACTTTTTTCAATGATCGCCTTCGCTCTTGGTTTATGACTTGACACATTTCTGGACGGAATCTTCTATAGAATAATTAACAGAATTAATAGATATTAAAAAATAAGATTTATAAATAAGTTTTATATACCGTGTTTAAATCCACGTTCGATTCAAAATCGCTCGTGATATGTTTCTTGTTTTCGCTATTTTCGCTACTAAATGTCTCCTGAGGTTTCATTGCATTTTCAAATGTGATCTGCGTGTCTTGACCATATCGCATTTCTCTCGGTGACGCAACTGAAAGTCATATGTTATAAAACGTAATTTTATCGGGAATAATATTACTAGCAATTTTTTTATAATTCTATTCTTTTATCTTGACTTAGTATTAAATATATGTGTATAAATATAACTAAAGTAATATATAATATATACAACATAGCATATTACGCATTACGTGTGTATATATATATAATGTATCTAAGTATATATATGTATAAAAGTCAACCTGATAGACAGACTGGGTTTTTTTAATTGATGAATTCATTAAGTTATTTTTTTATTTTTTCGACATTTCTAAATTCCAAATATTATTCAATTTAAACAAAACGTGCTAAACCAATTAAAATAAATGATAATCTAAAGGCGCTGTATGTGTATGCCGAATACGGTAAATTTCAAAGGGGATCGTATTCTATACATATGGTTACCGACGGTTGTCGGTAATTATGTACAAAAATACAGACTCAGCCAGGGGCATATTTATGTTATGCATACTAGAAGCAACCACGCCCCCCCTACCGCAAATTCCCATATAGGTCCCATGGGAAATTAACTCAGGTGCATCATGAGGCAGGGTATAACAATATTGGGGATTATGAAATTGTGCATTTGTTTATAAGTCATATATTTTATGTATGCGTTAATACATTTTATGTATTTATGAATTTGCGGCAGGGCTAAGGCTATGTTCGTCTTCACAATTCATGGTTAACTCTTTACTTACGGTTAACCATAAGTTGTGAAACTGGGCCTAAGAAGCTAGCTTTAGCTGGATCGTTTCTGCTTGGATAACGAAAATATGTCTCTTACAAAGGACTATGTACACTTCAAAGAATAAAAGAGGAATAGAAAATTTCAACTTATTGAAAACTTTGTACCTGAAATATACAGTCTGAGAAGTTTGAAAATCTTACTTTGTCTTCCAATCCCTATTCATTTCTTTGATCCCCTCATTCTTTTGATTGTACACACAATAATGTATCTTTGAACTTTGCCGCAAAAAGCTCTGCTTTATAGTGTTCAGCATGATGGAATGAGAAAAGTGAAACATTTCGAAAAATGCGCAGTAGACAGTGACATGCCGATAGCGTTTGATTGGTCAAAATTCCTCCTTGACGCATCATGTGTAATAGGCCTATTCTTTTTGGCTGAACTTTTGTACCAGTTCATTTTTCTTCCTCTTCTTTCCTCTTGGAGAGAAAAGGAAGAAAGATGAACTGGTACAAAAGTTCAGCCAAAAAGAATAGGCCTATTACACATGATGCGTCAAGGAGGAATTTTGACCAATCAAACGCTATCGGCATGTCACTGTCTACTGCGCATTCTTCGAAATGTTTCACTTTTCAGAAAAGTTCAGTCAAAAAGAACAGACCTAATGCTTCACCGTTCTGATTCCATCATGCTCAGTGTGGTAAAATTATCCAAAATGCTCAGTGTAGTGAAATTGTCCATACATTATTATAACCTATATATTTTACCGCATTTGACACATATATATATATATACATAGATTATCATTAGTTTCGGTCGCGCGCTTTCTAAATTGAACAATATTTGAAAAGAAATTTTGAAGAAATGAGAAAATTGCTTAATAAATTCATCAAGTAAAAATTTGTTTTTTTTTTATAAAATCTGTGTAACTTGCCTAAAAAAAGAGATGAAAGAAGTTAAAAGATAATAGGGATTACCGACCTCCGTAAAAGAAATTTTGAAGAAATGAGAAAATTGCTTAATAAATTCATCAAGTAAAAATTTGTTTTTTTAATAAAATTGTTTTTTTTTATAAAATCTGTGTAACTTGCCTAAAAAAAGAGATGAAAAAAGTTAAAAGATAATAGGGATTACCGACCTCCATCATGATTGAATTATGTCAGTATGTTTCGACAATAAATATTGAATTTTATAAAAAAAACAGTGGATTATTTATTTATACACCATAATAATTCTGTCTGTGTTTTACTGTTTGATGTACCAATCCTCTTCTCTTTATCTTCATATTGTATATTATCATGTGTTTCTTTGAATCTATGCGATGTCTCTGGTGTTTTCTGCTCGTCGTTTTCATCTTCTTGTGCCTCAGTCCAAAATTCGGAAGCAACAATATTCTGTTCACTCATAACAGCTCTTTTAATGTATCGTTGAATCGGTTCATAATTGTCAGTACTTAAAAAATTATATTTTTAAAAATATTTTTTCAAAATCTTTTTATACTTGTATGTATTAAAATTTTATGAATTCTATAACCACAAATAATTTTGATTCTATATGGCACAAGAGTAATTATCATGTAAGCTATACTAATTTAATGTATATTTAATATTAAGATGTAATTTAAAAGATCTATATAATATAGATATAATATATATATAAATAAAATTTTAAAGGCATAAGTCCGTATTTATTCCATTTTTATCAATATATGCGCTTATTTCTGGAATTCTATAATATATGCATTTATTTATCGATTAGAATAAAGTGTGAATACGGATCAGAAGATTTACCTTGTTACTTCAATTAATGCTGATGTCGTATCAAGACTATAATGTGGAGTTGTGTAAGAGTCCGCGTACTCGTCCATGTGCTCCATTTGACGATTCGTATACTGTTCAGTTTGCTTTGCCTTATTCGTCCATTCTCTCGGAGAAGTTCCAAATCTGGGACCAGTAACTTTACTTTTTTCTTTCGGTGTTGATGTTACAAAACGATGTGGAGCCTACCAAAAGATAAATTGTTTGCAAATATATGCTTTCTTTTATTAACAAATCACTGTAAAAAGTTCTTCATATTACTGATTTATAAGTTAGTAGTACACTTTATCCATTTTTGTAAAACAAGGAATTAAGGAAGAATACCTCGTCTGTACCTTCTTCAAGTAACATTAAAGTAACTGATGATCCATCTAAAACCCCATGAAGATGTGGCAATTTTTGTTGGCAACAATCGACCGAACGATTCTTTAAAATTTTCCACCAGGAATTTTCGTCCTCCAAAAATGTCTTTATCTTTTCCATTTCTCTTAAGCAAGTCATGATTGTATTATGTGCATCTTTTAGATCATTAATCTTGTTTTCTGGGAACGGTTCTAATAAATTTTCCTGTTGAAACATATTTCAAATTTGGAAGAAATTATCGTATATAAACAATAAATGAATAAATAATAATTAAATAATAAAAGTACTTAATTATTCAAGACTTCTTTATTTAACAATGAGTAATCAGAAGAATAATGTGAAAACAAAGAGCTATAGGAGTCGGCATATATAATCCAATCCATTTATTCTTATTTATCATATTTGTTTAATGTTTGTTGTTAATAAATTACCGTTTCATCATGATGCTTTAATCCATCAAGATCTTGAACATTTCTCTTTAGTTCTTGAATTTTGTTTACGACACGATCGACATTGTAGGAATGTGATTTAAATTCGTATTTCAAATCCGTACCGACTTTCGCATTACATCTCCTTGGTTCGCAGTACTCTCTTCGTCTCGTGACAGGCGATTTATAACGGCTTTCCAAAGTGCGTGGATTGAAAGCAGCCGGTGGACTAAGGTGAGTGCAAATCCTGCATGGAGGTTCCTGAAAAGGCAAAATATTATATTTTGAAAGAATATACTTTGTCAGACATATCTTCACAATATAATATATAATTGTATTTTTCTAATATTTAAAAATTTTTGTTATAAAAGTTATTTTTAAAAGATAAAATTATATTTAAGTACAAAAAACGAATATTTAGAAATTGAAGTATAATTTAACTTATAAAAGAGAAAAATAGGTTACATACCATTTAGACAAGAAATTATATTATATATATATATATTTTTTTTCTATATTTTAATATTAATAATAATCGTAAGCCATGTCGCATTCGGACATATTCTTGAGCTACAGAATATATTCAAATTTACATATCCTGTTCTCATTCTGGAATACTTATTGACGTTTTACATTATCTTGGAATTTAAAATTATGAAATATATACACACATACATGTACGATAAAAAAAGACTAGATGTGAAGTAGGACAACGTTGTTTTTGTAAAAAGATAAAACTTCAAGT